TTAACAAAAACAAAAACGGACAACCATCATCCATGCTGGGTTTTAAGAATTTGCAAATCAAAAAAAAAAAAAAAAATCTTATTTATACCTAAACTTCAAATACTCTAACTTCAAAAATTGATTGTTTTTCTAATAGCACAAGAGACAGTGGATTTATGTTCTAGCAAGTAGCAATCTCTTCTCCTTCAAAAATTTTAGATTCATTATTCTGAAAAAAATGATTCATAAAATAATCACTAAAATATTAATAAGATTAGCAATTCTAAATCTAAAATGGCTTTGTGTTAGTATTAAGAAAGGTTCACGCGAATACTACCAAGCCTAATTGTAGAAACACATGCACAAACAATTTACGGATTGGTTAAGTTGGCAACGCAGACTAGGCGTATAGAAAGAGCTCTCGAGTTCGATACTCACTAAACGCACTCACATGAAAGGATGAAGAGTTTTAACTGTGACTAAACTCCGAGCCGGATTAAGCAATTCCTAATAACAGGGTTCGGATTTCGGTGGTTTATACAAAAATGTGCAAACAAAAAAGAGAACATAGTAAGGTCGTAATATAAATCAAGATAATTTATTTTCAGGAAATAAAATGGACATTTCTTTTTTCTCTCCCTTAGCTTTTGCTCTTTAATGTATTATAATTTATCAAGGGACTGTTCAATTCAACATGAGAGGAGTCTACTGCAGCACGTAAATGGGAACATATGAAATTAATCGAATAATACAATAGGCAAGACATTATGATCAATCTCCTACATCTCGTGTATCAAAATAATGTTCATCTCCTTCACTCCTCGTCATCTCTGATTCATCAAAAAATATCTCTGCAGCGATTTAGGGATCAGAAACTCGAAGAAAATGTCAGTATTTTAAAATTTGGAAATTTAACGATGTTCCTCAAATACTAGTAAGACAAATAATCTTTTCAATTAACTTGGAGAGAGGAAATTCAAAAGGGGAAAAAATATATAGTTTATTGTGATAGTCAAAGTGCGTTAGACTTGAGCGAAAATACTATATATCATGCACGAACGAAACACATTGATGTAAGATATCATTGTCTTAGACTTGCCATTGAAGAGAAGCAGTTCCAGTAGCAAAAAATCCACATAGACAGAAATGCTGCAGATATATTTACAAAGGTCGTTCCGAAAGAGAAGTTTGAACTGTGTGTCAAAGCGGCAGGAATGGAGAGTCCACTATGTAGTCGGGAGGGGAGAATTATTGTGCGGTCCCTCCGACATGTGGACCCACACACATTTGAAAAAGAAAAAAAAACAACAAACACGTTTTTTGTTGGTCAAAGAAAAAAGGAGATTCAAATGTGTGGGACCCACACACGTTTGAATGAAGAAAAAATTAGGGAGGATGGACGCCTTAATTAACGTGTCAGTCTGTGGACGCGTTAATTACGCGTCCCCTTCTCCTATAAATAGGAGAAGATTTCGACAACCAAAACATGTATAAAAACAAAAAGAATAGAAATACATAAAGTGTATAGAATTTTAGGAAAGGGTTCCTAAAATTGGGAAAGAGAGAAAATAGTGAGGATTATAATTTTTGGAAACTTTGGGAAACACTTAGAGTACCACTATTTTGTAATCTCTTTTGTACCTACTATTTTTAATAGAAGAATTATTCGGAGTTTTTATCCCGTGGACGTAGCACATAACGGTTGAAGGGTGAACCACGTACATCTCAGTGTTCTTATTTTTCATCTGGCATTTACGGTAATTATTTAATTTTTATCGTGGTTATTATTTCTGGTGGATTCCATCGTCAATATCCAATACGAAATTATTGGAGGTATATGTGGTAACAGTAATTTTATTTTACTTTTACTACCGATATTTTTCCGCGGGCTCCACTCGGAATCATTTATTATCTCAACATAAGCGTGGCTATGGACGCGGTCTAGACAAATAATTTCTTTATTTTTTTCATTTTTTTTTACTTATTTTCTACGTGGCACCATTAATTTGTGTCTAATAAGCAATTATCATAATGTATTATAGATTTGTGTTGTTATTTCCACGAGTCATGTTGTTACAAAATAATAGATCGAAAAATTTGTAGTGGTTCTGACACTAATTTTAAAAAAAATTCCATTCAAACACTAAAATATAAAGATTTTGAACAATTGAGATACTAAATTTATAATTATCCAAATTTTTTTATGTTAAAAAAGAAACTCTTAAGGTACAGCGTGGGAAATTATGTTGCAATTTGTGAAGCTAAGTCTTGAGACCTATGGTTACATTTAACTCAAATTCATAAATGGGTTTCTTATTTACCAAAAAAAAATATATATATATATACTAAATGAGTTTCCTTATTAACCTGAATAATCGAACAAAAAATTATTTGGTCAAAAAATAATATCGATGAAATCAACTAAGTATGGTATAATTAGTCTTCTCAATAATGTGAAGACCAAAAGATTTTTAATTCGAATTGGATCACGGGAATTTTCATCAATTTAATAAATTAAAGTGGATAACTACCTCGTAATTGTGGCCATTTATTATATGCATTGGGCTCATTTTTGAATTTGGCATAAATGAAATAAAATTTGTAGTTTAATCTCCAATAAGTGCCAAGCGTTTGATTAAAATATTTATTCCCACCATTTCTAGATATAAACGTGATTATACACAATAAATAATAAAAAGATTTATTTAGTCATTAAGAATAATCAACTTTTAAAATTCGCCTTCTATACCCAAAAAAAAAAAAAACAAAAAAAAAAAAAAAAGTAATTAACGTTAAATCTCATTGATAACTTCAGCTTTGTTTTCAATGGTTAAGGAACTCTTTTTTTTCTGGGACGATACACTTGTAAGTTTGAATTTTAATTAAATTACTTTCTCCCTTCCATAATTTTTATCTTGCATATAAATTTAAAAAATTTAACTAATATAGTTAAATTATATTATAATTTTTATTTTATTTTATTTTTAATATCTCTTTGTGGTAATGTTATATTAATATTAAATTATCCATATTAAATTTTTTAAAAATTAATCAAATATTTGATTAAATACAGTTTTCTTGAAAGATTAAAAGTTATAATTTGATTTTGTTTGTTTCGATATTTAATTAATGATTTAATTAAAGGAGTAGTTATATTTCTCAATAAAAGAAGCATATTAAATAAGGAGAATAGTAAACTTTAAATATTAATTATTTTTAAAAAGGAAACAAAAGTGAATAAAAAAAGTATGACAAGAATTATGGTCCGGAGGGGGCATTTTTTTTTTATGCATTAAACAGTGAAAAATTATTCTAGTAGATTATAAAAGATAAAGTATATTTGGATCTCCAAATTATTATAATATTTTTAACGTTAGCTTAAAGTGACTATTAGATCCTTTCATTTAAAAAATCATTATTTTGTGTTTAAAAAATCAGCATATTTAAGGAAAAAAAAGAGCATATTGCACAAAAAAAATATTTTTAGCTAATGATAAAATACTGACTCTTAAGATGAAATAATAACCAAATTGTTCATTATGATATAGTTTAGCAATTATTTTACTCTTAATTGAAAAAAAAAAGAAAAAGAGCTGAGGGTGACTTGACTTTGGTACGTCACAAACAGGCTTCCAAAGAAGTAAAGGTTCTTTAATACATTATTGTTGGTGGAATGGAAAGGAAAAAGATACTGAAGCAGAAATTTTCACCATTGGTCCATTTTCATGAGCCACAAACCCAAACAATAAGAGAGGGAAAAGATAAGATAAGGGCAAAAATTGGTATACCTTGGAGAGATTATTTGAGTAGAAACAAATTTAAATATTTTATGTAATTGATATATTCCTTTATTTATTTAAAAACCAGAAGCAAAACCCCGCATTTCTTCTAGAAAATCTCTCAAAATTTTATAATTTTTGGAATTAATAAATTTTATTATAATCTCAATTTTCATATTTTGATGGAATTTTTCAATTTTTTTTATTTTTTTAATGATAAAAATTAACTATTTAATTTCATTCAGAAATACGACAAAATAATAGAATAATTGAACAAAAAATATAAGGATAAAGCAATTAATTTTTATATAATATAAAAATACATTTACAATTTTTCTATATTTTATATAATATAAAAATACATTTACAATTTTTCGTATCATATATATATATATATATATATATATATATATATATTAAAAAAAGAGATTTTATTCCGAAACTATTATCAAATCATACCTTTCATTTTATCTTGCATACCAACTTTTCTTTTCACAAAGTGTCGTGCAATTAAACATTTGCTGTCAAATCAGCATTCACGGTGTTCCATCTCCAAACAAAAATAGTCTTCGTGTTTGTAAAATCGAATTGTGCTCTTTAAGAAATATGATACAATAAACAGGCATTTCCATGTAAAATATTCTACATAAAACGGTAAATCAACAGGATATAAATAAATATGCACGTGGATCCCATAATTTTTTTATTTTTTTTTTTTTATTTTTTTGTCATCTAGAGTTACTTCTCTTGAATTTTAAAAACTGTATTTATATATTTATTTGGTAAATATATTTAAAGTTGGTCTTACAATTATTTAACTATTATTAATTTGCTCTTCCACGTAAACATCCTACGTGAAATTACCGTTTTCCCATATCCTTGACGTTACTAAAAAAGTTTATTGATATTCAAAGCTTAGTGGATACAATGAGAAAAAAAAGAGAAATGAAGAAATATTTAAGGATCTAGAATAAATAATTTGGATTAGAGAGAAATGTTCTCTAAATTGGTGAACTAGTTTCATCCATCGTTCATCAACTTTCATTAACACACGTATTAAAAGCAATAATTATTTAATTAACATGTAAAAATTAAAAACACTTACATAGGCAGGGTAGATCTCCACATACTTACATATTTTAACATAACTACAATTTATTATTTTAATTAATATTTTAATACTAACATCATATAAAGAAAAATAATTAGTTAATTAATATTCAAATTCCCTTTTTTTTTTTCACTCAACTAAATCAGCTTAACCGAATGAAATTAATTAATTATATATCTTCTGCAACATCTTCTTCATGATCCATCAATTTCCAGGAACCATCTGATTGCTGCACCATACCCTTGTTCTTTTGAATCCACCATGAAGGTGGTACAAGATACTCATCCTTTAAACCATCTAAAGATTTGTTTACTAAAGCAATATCACGATTAATTTCTAACTTAAATCCTCCTTTAGAGCCTTGCGTTCCTGCTACTCCATGCAAGTAACCTTCCAAGTTATGCCAACTGGAAACGTTTCCTGGACTCTTTAGGTAATTCGATTTTGTAGTATCAATTACAAGTTCTTCTCCAACTTCTGCGTATCCTATCAATGGATAATTAGGAACAATGTCAAGATTGTTGTGAATCCTTAATGCCCGAAGCTCTTTATACCCTGAAAACACTTTCTTGAACCCTGAGTCACCGACTCTAGGGCTAGCAAAGACTATTGCTGTGACTGGACAAGCTTTGTTTGGAAACGTTTTTGACTTGTTAAACCCATTTGCAATTATATCAACTGCATTTAATGTTGCTAGTGCAGCTCCTAAACTGTGCCCACATACTGTAATGCTTATTTCTTCGTTCTTGTATTTCTCGACTAGTCTTCTTACCTCATTAAGAACCTAAATCATAAAAATTATTAATTAACATGCTGGAAAGTAATACTAATTAACCAACTCTAATTCAATAATACAGGAAAACTAATTAATTACCTGATCTCTTGCGCTGCTCTTATTAAAAGGCGAAAGGGGATCATCAGAAGTATAAACGGAATGCCAACCTTGATGTACCTTAGGATCATTACCGGACTCGCCCAGTAAATCTGAAGCTGAGACTAAAACAAATTCAAGACCATCAACCCATTCTAATGTCCGCACTGTACCTCTCCAAGCAATTACAATATCTCTCCTTCCTAAAACAGCAGTCCCTTCATCGGTGGCCACTGCTATATACCCCATCCAATTGGACTCCTTACTCCAAGCTTCTCTTGACAAAGACTTAACAATAAATGCCTCAGGAAGCTGAATTTGTGATGTTGCATAAAAAAACTTGGTTACTGTGTACTTGTAGGGATTGCCTTTATCTAAACCAACTTTGGAGAAATTGGTTACTGTGTACTTGTAGGGATTGCCTTTATCTAAACCAACTTTGGAGAAAAAAACCATTCTTTGCATATAAGCTGCTTCCTGCAAATTTTGATGCTTTCTGGGAATTGAAAGCACCATAGGTAGCTTGAGCCATTTCACCATAATGAATAATAAATCGCCGGAGATCAATGTCAAGAGGGTCTAATAAGTTCGTAATGTGAAACTGCAAAAGAACCAACAAAGCCTTAAAGAAACTGAAGCCCAGCTCAGCGAAGGGTAATTTTTGTTTATCACTAATATCATAATTAATTATGTTTATATGGAGCTAGCATATATATGATTCAATAAATTAATTTTTATTGAATTTTTGGTGCTGGAAAGGGATGAATTTAGAGCAAGTAGATGAACTGATCATCTTTTATTAGAAACACAAAACGAGATACAATACATATATATTGCAAGCACAAGCAAATCAGACTAGATCAACAAGCACAAGACCAACCATCCACCGCATAGCAGATCATGCAGATAGGAGGAGTTTATTTCTCACACACTTCTTATTTATTAGCCACTGTCACATTACAATGACATATGATTCATATATTAGTTGGTTCCATTCTCTGTAGCAGCAGTAGCAGCATCGTCATCAGTTGGAGGATCAGGCACATAGTCATTAAGCTTCCAGGTTCCATCATCCAATTGAATCATACCTTGTCTAAACACATTACTCCACCATTTAGGAGGCACACCACAGCTATCTTGCAAAAGATCGTTATATTTGTTCAAAAGGGCAAAATCAAGATTAATAACCAACTTGAAATCCTCGTTCCCTTGATAACCTGCAACTCCATGCATGTAAAGGTTCAGATCATGTGCTTCTGGAATACTCTCGCCTTTTATGTTCGGTGACTTGGTTGTGTCAAGGTAAAGCTCCACACCAACGTCTTCATAGATAAAGTCAAAAATTTTTGGCGGAAGCTCAGGAACAATATCCTTATGGTTTCTAATCCGTAAGAGATGAAGAGTACCAGCATCTTGCAGTCCGTTGAACACATCTTGAAACTCCTTGTTTCCAACTCGCGGACTCGCAAAAACAAAGGCGGTAACTGGGTATCCAGTGTCGGATCCGCTTGGCTTATTGTACCCATTGAAAGCTATGTCCATTGCGTTTAGGGTTGCTAGGGCTGAACCCAAACTGTGTCCAGTTATGGTGATGCTCACATCCTCCTTCAGTGCTGCATACTTGTCCACATTTCTCCTGACTGCTGCTAGAACCTGGATTTGGGAATATTAACATCAATTGCAGCAGCATTTATTAGAGCCCTAAAGGTTTAAAACTAATAAATATAAATAGTACAATGCTAGCTTAAATCAAGATTCACCTGCTCTCTAGCACTCCTCTTATTGTAAGTTGAATCTGATTTAGAGGTAGTGTAGACACTGTGGAAACCCTTGTGCACTTTAGCATCGGTGTCAGGAAACAAATCTGAACCAGAGGTGAAAGTAGCGTCAAAATCCTCAAACCATTCGATCGTAAAGGTGGTTCCTCTCCAACAAACCACAATGTCTCTTCTCCCTGTAACGATCTTCCCTTCATCTGTGGTAACAGCAACGAACCCAAAATAAGCAGATTGGCCTGCTATCATCCAATCTCGAAAGTCAATTTCTGATCTCCCGTAAAAGAAGTCAGTCACTTGGTATTTGAAAGGATTGCCTTTTTCTATACCAACTTCAGAAAAGTAATTCTCAGGTGGATATCGAGACAATGCATATCCAGGGGATTTCTTGACGCCATTTAAAGCAGCCGGAGCAGCTGCAGTCAAAAAACCATAGTTAATAAGATAATGACGAAGATTATCATCAATGGGATCTAAAAGACCATCCCAATTGTTCTCGCCGCTAAGAACCTTCCAGTTTGATGCTATGCCCGCCATTATCTCTTTGTTTTTCTATCTCACAAGGTTTTTAGTGTTTTTGAGTAGTGTGAGTTCCAAAGCATGGCTTGCATGGTTTATATAGAGTGTCTGCTCCTTCTTCTTCACCATTTTCAATATCACTAACCCTAATCGCCATGTGCATTGCGTGAATCTTTCTTTTAGCTAAAGCACTTTTTTATTTTGGTTGGCTAATGAGTCAGTGACCACCTTACTTTTACCCCCACACTTTTCAAGTTTGAAGCTTCAAATGATGGAGAGCTTTCATACATGGACGTTGATAAAAAATGGCTTCCATATTTCAGAACTTTAACTTACATATTGCAGAATTATATCTTTAATTTGGAATGCTGTACGCAAATTAATTCGTGACTGAAGAAATTATATATCTTCAGCACTTTTACAAATGATAGAATATATATTACTCAAGAGTTCTGAAAATGGAAAGGTTTTACTGTCTCATTTATGCTTATTTAATGATTTTGATATCAATTAACAAAAACAAAAACGGACAACCATCCATGCTCGGTTTAAAGAATTTGCAAATAAAAAAAAAAATCTTATTTATACTCTAACTTCAAAAATTGATTGTTTTTATAATAGCACAAGAGACAGTGGATTTGTGTTCTAGCAATTAGCAATCTCTTCTCCTTCAAAAATTTTAGATTCATTATTCTAAAAAAAATGATTCATAAAATGATCACTAAAATATTAATAAGATTAGCGATTCAAAATCTAAAATGGGCTCGTGTTAGTATTAAAAAAGCTTTTGTGAATATTACCAAGCCTAAATGAAAAAACACAAGTGCAAACAACTTACAGATTGAATCAATTGGCAACGCAGACTAGGCGTATGGAAAGAGCTCTCCGGTGCGATCCCTACTAAACGTAACTGCAGGGAGAGATGAAGAATCTTAATTGTGACTAAACTCTAAGCCGGATTAAACAGTTCCTAATGACAGGTTCGGATGCCAGTGGTTTACAAAAAAACACATGTGCAAACAACTTACGGATTGAATCAATTGGCAACGCAGACTAGGCGTATGGAAAGAGCTCTCCGGTGCGATCTCTACTAAACGTAACTGCAGTGAGGGATGAAGAATCTTAATTATGACTAAACTCTAAGCCAGATTAAACAGTTCCTAATGACAGGTTCGGATGACAGTGGTTTACAAAAAAACACATGTGCAAAAAAAAAAAAAAAAAAAAGGGATGAAGATCTTAAATTATTGAACTAAACTCTAAAGCCAGAATGTAAACAGTTCCTATGACAGGTTCGGATGAACAGTGGTTTACAAAAAACACATGTGCAAAAAAAAAACAAAAAAGCCATAATAAGATCGTAATAATAAAAAAAAAAAAAAAAAAGCATAATAAGATCGTAATATAAATGAAGATAAAAGATATTAATTTTCAGGAAATAAAATGGACATTTCCTTTTCTCTCCCTTATCTTTTGCTCTTTTATGTATTATAATTTGTCAAGGGACTGTTCAATTCAACATGAGAGGAGTCTACTGCAGTACGTAAACGGGAACATGTGAAATTAATCGAATAATACAATAGGCAAGACATTATGATCAATCTCCTACATCTCGTGTATCAAAATAATGTTCTTTTCCTTAACTCCTCGTCATCTCTGATTCATCCAAAAATATCTCTGCAGCGATTTAGGGATCAGAACCTCGAACAAAATGTCAGTATTTTAGAAATTCGAAATTTAATGGTGTTCCTCAAATACTAGTAAGTACAAATAATCATTTCAATTAACTTGGAGTGAGGAAATTCAAAAGGGAAAAAAGTGGAGACAAAAGGAGTACAAATATCACCAAACATATAGAAGTTTTTATAAGGTTTCTTATTAAAATGAGAGTATTTTTGACTATACACCGAGTAAAAAAGATAAAGTTGAAACACTTTTTAAAAAATTTTTATTGGTGTTGGCTTGGTCCATAAGCGTGGCTATGAATCCGGTTTAGGCAAGTAATTTCTTTATTTTTTTCATTTTTTTTACTTATTTCCTACATGGCACCATTAATTTGTGTCTGATAATTAAGCAATTATCATAATGTATTATAGATTTATGTTGTTATTTCCGCGAGTCATGTAGTTACGAAACAATAGATTGAAATTTTTTAGTGGTTCTGACACTAAAATGTAAAGATTTTGAAATTTTTGAGATGTTAAATTTATAATTATTCTTCTAATAATGTGGAGGTCAAGAGATTTTTAATTCAAATTAGACCACGAAAATTTTCACCAATTTAATAAATTAAGTGGATAATTACCTGGTAATTGCAGCCATTTATTATATGCATTGTGCTCATTTTTTAATTTTGCATAAATGAAATAAAATTTATAGTTTAATCTCCAATAAGTGCCAAGCCGTTGGATTAAAAAATTTATTCCCACCATTTCTAGATGTAAACGTGATTATACACAATAAATAATAAAAAATGTATTTAGTCATTAAGAATAATCAATCTTTAAATTCGCCTTCTATACCAAAATAATAATAATAATAATAATAATGAACTTTAAATCTCATCGATAAACTTCAGCTTTGTTTTCAATGGTTAAGGAACTTCTATTTTTTCTGGGACGATACACTTGTGAGTTTGAATTTTAATTAAATTACTTTCTCCCTTCCATAATTTTTATCTTGCATATAAATTAAAAAATTTTAATTAATATAATTAAATTATAATTTTTATTTTATTTTATTTTTAATATATCTTTGTGATAATCTTATATTAATATTAAATGATCCATATTAAATTTTTTTAAATTAATCAAATATTTGATTTAATACAGTTTTCTGAAAGATTAAAATTTGTATTCTGATTTTGTTTGTATCAATATTTAATTAATAAATTTAATTAAAGGAGTAGTTATATTTCTTAACAAAAGCAGCATATTAAATAAGGAGAATAGTAAATATTATTTATTTCTAAAAAGGAAACAAAAGTGAATAAAAAAAAGTATGACAAGAATTATTATGATATTTTATGCATTAAAAACTGAAAAATTATTCTAGTAAATTAAAAAAGATAAAATACATTTGGATCTCTAAATTATTATGATATTTTTAACATTTGCTTAAAGTGAGTATTAGGTCATTTCATCTAAAAAATTATTACTTTCCATTTAAAAATATATATATATATATATATATTAAAAAAAGAGATTTTATTCCGAAACTATTATCAAATCATACCTTTCATTTTATCTTGCATACCAACTTTTCTTTTCACAAAGTGTCGTGCAATTAAACATTTGCTGTCAAATCAGCATTCACGGTGTTCCATCTCCAAACAAAAATAGTCTTCGTGTTTGTAAAATCGAATTGTGCTCTTTAAGAAATATGATACAATAAACAGGCATTTCCATGTAAAATATTCTACATAAAACGGTAAATCAACAGGATATAAATAAATATGCACGTGGATCCCATAATTTTTTTATTTTTTTTTTTTTATTTTTTTGTCATCTAGAGTTACTTCTCTTGAATTTTAAAAACTGTATTTATATATTTATTTGGTAAATATATTTAAAGTTGGTCTTACAATTATTTAACTATTATTAATTTGCTCTTCCACGTAAACATCCTACGTGAAATTACCGTTTTCCCATATCCTTGACGTTACTAAAAAAGTTTATTGATATTCAAAGCTTAGTGGATACAATGAGAAAAAAAAGAGAAATGAAGAAATATTTAAGGATCTAGAATAAATAATTTGGATTAGAGAGAAATGTTCTCTAAATTGGTGAACTAGTTTCATCCATCGTTCATCAACTTTCATTAACACACGTATTAAAAGCAATAATTATTTAATTAACATGTAAAAATTAAAAACACTTACATAGGCAGGGTAGATCTCCACATACTTACATATTTTAACATAACTACAATTTATTATTTTAATTAATATTTTAATACTAACATCATATAAAGAAAAATAATTAGTTAATTAATATTCAAATTCCCTTTTTTTTTTTCACTCAACTAAATCAGCTTAACCGAATGAAATTAATTAATTATATATCTTCTGCAACATCTTCTTCATGATCCATCAATTTCCAGGAACCATCTGATTGCTGCACCATACCCTTGTTCTTTTGAATCCACCATGAAGGTGGTACAAGATACTCATCCTTTAAACCATCTAAAGATTTGTTTACTAAAGCAATATCACGATTAATTTCTAACTTAAATCCTCCTTTAGAGCCTTGCGTTCCTGCTACTCCATGCAAGTAACCTTCCAAGTTATGCCAACTGGAAACGTTTCCTGGACTCTTTAGGTAATTCGATTTTGTAGTATCAATTACAAGTTCTTCTCCAACTTCTGCGTATCCTATCAATGGATAATTAGGAACAATGTCAAGATTGTTGTGAATCCTTAATGCCCGAAGCTCTTTATACCCTGAAAACACTTTCTTGAACCCTGAGTCACCGACTCTAGGGCTAGCAAAGACTATTGCTGTGACTGGACAAGCTTTGTTTGGAAACGTTTTTGACTTGTTAAACCCATTTGCAATTATATCAACTGCATTTAATGTTGCTAGTGCAGCTCCTAAACTGTGCCCACATACTGTAATGCTTATTTCTTCGTTCTTGTATTTCTCGACTAGTCTTCTTACCTCATTAAGAACCTAAATCATAAAAATTATTAATTAACATGCTGGAAAGTAATACTAATTAACCAACTCTAATTCAATAATACAGGAAAACTAATTAATTACCTGATCTCTTGCGCTGCTCTTATTAAAAGGCGAAAGGGGATCATCAGAAGTATAAACGGAATGCCAACCTTGATGTACCTTAGGATCATTACCGGACTCGCCCAGTAAATCTGAAGCTGAGACTAAAACAAATTCAAGACCATCAACCCATTCTAATGTCCGCACTGTACCTCTCCAAGCAATTACAATATCTCTCCTTCCTAAAACAGCAGTCCCTTCATCGGTGGCCACTGCTATATACCCCATCCAATTGGGCCACTGCTATATACCCCATCCAATTGGACTCCTTACTCCAAGCTTCTCTTGACAAAGACTTAACAATAAATGCCTCAGGAAGCTGAATTTGTGATGTTGCATAAAAAAACTTGGTTACTGTGTACTTGTAGGGATTGCCTTTATCTAAACCAACTTTGGAGAAAAAACCATTCTTTGCATATAAGCTGCTTCCTGCAAATTTTGATGCTTTCTGGGAATTGAAAGCATCATAGGTAGCTTGAGCCATTTCACCATAATGAATAATAAATCGCCGGAGATCAATGTCAAGAGGCTCTAATAAGTTCTTCCAATTATTTTCACCACTTAAATGTTTCCATCGTTTTGCTATGCTTCCTGCTACCATTTTGATCTTCTTCTTCTTAATCCCACACCACCTTCTAATGATAGCTTGTTTCTGCATGGTTTTCATGTTTTTTACGCTTGAGAAATCTTTGAATTTATAGACATCATCAGTTTTTGGATTGACTTAAATTTTTACCCATTTGAGAAATACAAATCTTTACTTAGATAAGTAGTATGTTGTTTTTGGACTTACTGTAGCTATTTGAAAACTTCAAGAAATTGATAAGTCCATATTGTATGATTTATTTCACTCAACATTCCTCAGATTTATTATCTTACCTAAAAGAGTTGGCGAAATGACGTACTACTCGATCCAATCAAATTCAAATGGTAATGAGTATAACAAAAGTTCATGCTTGCAAATAATTAATCAACATCTCTGCTAAACTACAGTTATATTTTAATAATTTAATCAGTATTTAATTATATATGACTGATCGTTTGTCAATACAGATAGAATTAATACAGCTCACGCAAAGAGATTTGCGAATATTTATGTTAATGCTTATAAGGATCATTTATGTTTCATTTTTTTTATTATTAAATTTAATCATTTGGAGGTCAGTGTTCAGATTTCCCGTATGGTTCTTTCCTTGAGATAAGGATCTTTCTCATGTGTTTTTACCTCTTTTAGAACAAAGTAAAGAAATAAACTAAATACATAACCATTCAATTTGCTTTTTCTTCTTCAGGAATTACTAATTGACCTATTTATATAGCTGCATTTTTAATTTACAGTTGAGGACGGTAATTTTGTTTTTCTTTTAAATTTATGGTTGTAAGTAGTAAGTCTTTGCTTTAAAGTAATGTAAGAGAAATGGAATGGGGAGTGGTTGAAGATGCTTTCAAATTCAAGAAGGCAAGTCTTGCAAATTAGATACTTTGCCGATGCTTTCAATTTGGATGTTGTTTTGGGAAAAATCAGCAGACTGTGTATATATATATTCCTTACCTCTTATTCTTAGCTTTTCACTGAGAAAATTGAAAAGGAAACCATTAATGCTTTTGTTGAAGAGTCCTTTTTGTCTGGAGAAGATACGTGCATGAAAAGAGTTTTCACAAAGGAGATGTCTTTGAGCCTCCGCCTTCTCATGGCCCAAATCCAAAACATCAGTGGGCCGATCAAAACCCACGGTCAGTTTATCTCCAAATTAAACTTAGCTTGAAAATGGGCAGGTTTATATATAACATAAGAAGAACCCATTTGCAAGAAGCAGCAAACTTTATGGGTTTGGGCAAATTGTTTTCAGACAGAAAGTTAGAAAGCTACTGTGGAAGTTTTACCCATTGAAATGACCCCATATTATCAGTTTCCATGTCAAGCCAAATTGTATTATATTAAAATTAAAAGAAGAAATATATATATATATATATATATATAATATATATATTATAATAATACGCACCTAAATGCACAGTGCATGTGAGATTGTAGTCGATATATATATATACGCACCTAAATGACAGTGCATGTGAGATTGTATGTCGTATCTCATAGTCCAATCAAGCACTGTAACCACCGTATGGTTCAAGCAGATCAAATTAAGACTGGTTGGGAGAAAAATTAAGAATTGGTCACGGTCTTAACTAAGACAATAACATCACAAGATTGCCTGAAACATCCGTTGCCATCCTCCACAAAACCATCGACCCCATTTATAACTCTTGTCTCTAATTGCCAATTAAGTAATTATTCATATATACATATTTCGAAACAGTAAAACTTCTGTATATATATATAAAAAAAAACTTAATACAACCAATAGCTAGAAATTAATAATATATGATCTTATTAATGACCTCCTTGATGGGTTTGCTGTTCATCTTGGAAAAGTCGCAGAGCTCGAATCTAGTATTTTTATGCAAAGATTTGCGATGTCCCCTGGAAGAGATATTGTTGCAGCGAGCAAAGATTTCCATGGCCCTATATAAACAAGGCACGTCAAATGTACAGAATAGGGACAAACTTACTAGATTCGAGAAAAAGTAGAGTGGCCTATTTGTGATGTCTTGTTGTTTTTCTTCAGGTTGCCTTATTCTTTTCATTTAAATATTCAGCATCATCTTGGATTCTCTATTTTCGAATCAATCAATCAATCCTCGAGCATTTCATTTATAAGAAATTTATTATTGATCATCGTGCGTTTTCCTCAACTGTATGTAAGTCTGTAACTAAGTATTTAGCTTTTTTTTGAATAATAAGTATTTAGCTTTAAATTTTTTTTTTTTTTTTTTTGAATTAAGGAAAAATGTCCATCAAACGTCAGGCACTGAGTTTCCACTTTGACCAGAGGTAACGATGGACGCTCTAGCTAGAAATGAGCATTTTATCGTGTCTTCTATCCAACGAAACTTTTGATAGTGGATGGCGGCTATAACAATCAATCAGAAATAACAATACCACTACTCATATTCTCGTCTTAGAAAAAGAGCATGAAATACTTGAGAATCTATGAGGATAGTACCCGCACTCTTGAATTTGCGATTATAAACTGTTAGGTGAAACGCAGAGCAACCTTCTGCATAAGTGGGAGGTGGTTGCTTCTTAGAAGTGGAAGAGCACGCAAAATTGTTTCGCTTCATGTCTTCCCCAAAGTCCTAGGACCCGCCGCTCGAATATTAGAAAATGCTGGCATCCACTGGCGTCCACTTCCAGATCGGTATAGCGTGGGTGTTACGTGCCAAAAATTTTTGTACCTGGGGGTATTCGGGTTCACAGGCTTCTTGGTCTTGAAAAGACGTGAAGGCGGGGTAGCTACTTCAAGGGAGTCCATTCTGTTGTTGCAAGAATTTATTCAGCATCCACCACTCGATGCGCACTAGAGATAAAAACGCTAACTTTTCGTTTTGTTTTGCTTCAGACTGCAATAAGATTTTAAAAGAAGGTTAGTAAGGCTTCCTCCACCCTACACTCCCTCCAACCTCAACCTTTGTGCACCATAATATGCATGATTCTTTCTCCTCCAAATCACATAAGGGCATGTAGTGATCCACATTCACACCCCGCTGCTCATCTCGAGTCGAGTATGCAATAAGTTACGCAGGCGTTCTCCAAATTGGAATCTCTAACTTTTGGGGGCAAATTCAACTTCAGATACTCCCCCACCCTCACCTTCTCAATGCTCTCACACCCTTCCACACCCTCAAGGCAAGGAGAATAAACAGAGATTTACACTTAGGTACCCTTCTTTCGTATAATTGCCAATCGCTTCATCCTCCAAATGTCTCTTGCATAAGGATGTCAAGATAGGTGGATATCCCGCAGAGAAAGGATTATATCTTTTGCCAATCCATTTGCTCCTCCCCTCCCCAAATAAAGAGACTATCATCCTCCACATAAAAGGCTCCATCAATGGGTAACCAAGGGTCCTTCACAACAGAAATACGCCTACCATTGCCAACCCTCCTCCTAACTCCATGTTTCAAGACCATGTTAGAAGACATTATACCCCTCCAGACAAAACTAGGGTGATGACCCATTTGTGCATCAAGCAACCTCCCGTCACGGAAATATTTAGATTTGAAAACTCTATAAAGGAGAGTATTAGGCGAAGTCAAAAGACCCCACCCCTGTTTCGCTAACATAGCCATATTGAAACAATGAAGATCCCTAAAACCCATGCCCCCATCTTTTTTACTCCCATACATTCGATTCCAAGCTAACCAATGGAACTTCTTCTCACTACCCTTCGAACCCCACCAAAAACTATTCATCATTTTTTCCAACTCATCACATAGACAGAGGCAATTCAAAGACACTCATGCAATAAGCCGACAATGCTTGAATCACGGACTTAATAAGTATCTCTCTCACCGTTTTGGAAAGAAATCTGTTAGACCAGCTATTTATATGCTTCCACATTCTGTCTTTGAGAAAACCAAGAACTTGTCTTTTATTCCTGCCAATCAGAGAAGGTAACCCCAGGTAAGCCCTCATGGGTGTTCACACGCAGACTTGGTGGTTGGTTCACGGTGTGTGTGTGTGTGTGTGTCGACGTTAATTTGCCAGGAGCTCTCTCTTATTAGGCAGTCCCTTAACGTATTGGGCTTCGTTTGGGATGCTTTGATGGAAAGAAGTGGTACTGCAAAAAATAATTGAGAGATTTTGGCGACACCCTCGCAGCTTTTACACCATGATTTCTTCACCTTTCCGCTTCTGAGAAGAATTTGACAAGCCTTCTGCACGTTACCAACATAGTAGGCGATATAGGATCCCCCTTGCGTACTCGTCGGTACAATAGATCCACAGTTTATTTCCATTACAATAACTGATATTTTACGAGTTCTACCATGTCTTCATTTACCCACATAGCACGAACCCTTTTTCTCAGCAGGCAACAACTACGCCCAAACAACTTTGTCTTATTGCTTTTACTGATGTCAATTTTCAGTGCACCAATTTTCAACATCTACTTTTACTTGGCTTTTTAGATGATTTGCATCATTTTCAGGAGATTAAAATTATTATCGTGATGACCGGCAGTATAAAGCAGATGGATGCAAGAGTAGATATTGGGTACACAAATTTTATCGTGTCGCTTAGGATTTAGCACAATCTTTGTAGGAGATCGTTCCACAAGAATGGTCTAATCAGTTCATTCTGGTCTTCTTCTTTAGGGTCAACTTAGGTATCATTAGGAGTCGAAATACCTTTGTTGTAGCTGGTACAGGGCAGTTACACATCCCACCATTAAGGGCAAATTTTGATAGAAAGCAGGTTTCAACCTCCGGGCGGGTGGCTTTATCAGGACCTTTTGAAAAAAACTGCGTGCTTTGCTGTCGTCAATGTGAGATGGGAGTGTCAACTGAGTTTCTCATTCACTGATTGTACTGCGAACATCTCAAGGGTTGAAATCGTTGTCATTTGCGCAAGAGATGATGTGATGTCAAACACAATCGCTGCTTCTTCACTTTTTCATCATGGCCCGCGGTTTTTGTAGTTATTATTAGAATTCCTGCGTGTTCTTGCGTTGATTTGCATGAATATTTACTGTTTCTTCCATGTTGCAAGCCCAGGAATTGTTTACTGAGTTGTCTCGTTAGCATCTCCGCGCGAATTGCCCGCACTCCTAATTTAACTGTGGTATCGCAAGATCAATCTTCTCGAGCCAAATCCGTATAGGCACGCTTTCAGCTGTTCTTTTTCTTTCAAAATCTCGTCCTGTCCATACCAACTGGTGCAGTGCGCGTATACAAGATTTTTTTGGAGCTATTTATCGAGACCCTGGGGAGGACGCAACGTGGTCTGAACTATCCACCAGTCCTCTCATGAAGGCAAGCATTACCAACGACCTCCTCTCCTTCCTACAAGGGTACCGCACCCTCAACCGTCGAAACTAACAAATGGGTTCATGGTCCGATTGTTGGTTGAAACCCAATGTAGTCGTAGAGCTTCTGGAATAAACGAGGGACCAGCAATTATTAGCCATAGCCCGGGCGTTTCTGACGCGGTGATAATTCGGCAAATCTTTTTTAATTAACCAAGTAAATTTATTAGCTTTTAGCAGGTTCACAAAATCACTCTCCACTGCCCGCCTCCTTAAACCATTACAAGTTCTAGTTTTGTTTCACCATCTTCTCTGATCAGTCAATAGATTATTAAATCCCACACCACCAGCAATTATGTTCGGGATAAATTTAATAAGTCCCAAGCTCCTGCTTCTACAGCTTTCTGGAACCCATTTAAAAACCGTTAGGCGCAAGAAATTACCAGAAGTGAAGACCTAGCATAATAAATTTTTTGCGTAACAGATATGAACATGCAACTTACCTTTCCAAACAACAAGACCCGCAAGAATCAAAACGCAACAAAGAACAAAGATCAACAAGCTTCATTTTATGAACTAAAGTTTCACAAAGGAACAAAATAACAGGGCGGTAAATTGCAACAAAGTCCCATAGAGCTTGTACTGTCCGAGGGTTGCCAAGTCCTCGACAGTTCCACGAGAGGATCTTCATTTCTTCCGGCCATCCTGCTTCACAGGATCAACCGATGTATGTTTCTCCGACTGATTGATGGTCGAAATGGTACCAGATGCAGAATCATTTTGAGTAGAAACTGCAGCGGTGCTATGAGTGGTAGGAAGAATTCGTTGTCTTTTTTTATTCTCATCACTGATACATAAAGCCACATCTTCAACTCCGCCCTCTTCAGAAAAATCAGCTTCCATTGTATCGGAGTTATTGCCTTCGTCAAGATTTGAAGATGTACCATAAAAGGAGTTACGAAAATTTCTCACCACAGTGTTATCTCCTTCCAAAACGGATGTTGAATTACTAAGTGTCCAATCTGCTGAAATGTCAGCGACACCAAAGGATCGGATCCAGGAACTCTGTCGTCTCGCTCCACGCCGCACCGGAGCACGAAGACTATCATCCCAGGCCAAAATCAGTTCCTCTCTTGGTTTAGATAACCGAAGATCACAGAATGACTCTGTATGACCAATGCGGCCACAGAGAAAGCAAATCGTGAAAACCTTCTCATATAAGGAATCTATCCAGACAGGCAAGAGCAATTATTTTTCGTTTTTGCGAGGGCCTCTATCAGGTTTCACTTTGAATGCGGAGGAATATTCAAATACACACCTCCGCACAGATGTCATTCTAACTCATATTCCGGATAAGATTACCGGGAGCAAATTCCCCCCTTCCATCTAGTGTTTTTCCTTATCCCACAATTCTTACGGAACATCTTCTAATGGACCCAAATGTTCAGCCAACATAAGGATCTCATGGGTTTTCACCCTTTGGATTGTTGCCAACGAGAGATTGTTATTAAGAACCAAGCCACGGAGATAGCCCTGTCGATATATCACATTGTTAAAAACGGAGCATGCAAGTTTTTGGCTCCCACTTCGACAGGCTGATATTCACATTCGCGTAAAGGATTTGCAGAGATTCTGCCTAGGTGTTCATGTTCATGTCCTACAAGTTGTGACATTGCTATAGTTGAGACGCAGTCCCAGGAAGGGAAAGCCCAGTCTCCTCCTCCTCAGCGATAGAAAGGTGAGCAAAATTATCTTCCATGGCTGAAACGGGAACAAAGTCAGGCAAGAGGAAAGAGTGATGGTTTCGCTGGGTTGATGGAATAAACAAGATGTGGAAAAGATGGAAGATGGTGATGGTTTCATTGCGACAAAGAACAAGACGTGCACATAGTGGACAGTATCCAAGGCTTGTGAGTGGAAGACAAAGATTCAATGTTTCAAGGCGTGCACATGGCAGACAAGACGTGCACATGGCAGAGAGAAAACTCAGCTTGCGTCTTGGTGGTGAAATCATTTAGCTTTAAATTTTGATCTAGATTACTATCACATTTTATTTTATTTTATTTGATAAAATCATTAATTTAATTCTATTAAAATCATTAAATTTGATCCAGATTAAATAATATTATTAGATAAAATGAAAACAATAAAATATCACAAAGCATTTAATGGGAAAAAAAAAAAGAAAAACAAGAGTCATTATCTTATCCTGTGTGACAAGTTGGCTCTTATGTGCATGGAAAGCAGAAGGTAGCCAAAGCCAATCCTTCGATGACCCCAACCCATATATAGACTGGGTAGAGACAATTGGCAATGCTGATGGTTACTGTTATCGATAAGAAAAAGGAGAGGGAAGTTAAGTTCCATCTCCTGCATTAACCGATGCTTCGTTGGCCATTACAGCCTCCTACATGAAACCAGTAAATTATCCTCTGATTTAAGGGATACATGATCAGTCAAAGGACCACATCTTTTTTTTGTATTGAATTCCTAATTTCTTCCCACTTATTGTAGTATTGTTACATTCCTTTCACACCCACCTAGGTGGCTCCTTTGCTCAACAAAATGTAATTAATCTTAATTAACTCATTCATTCTGCATTAATTACACGACTGCAAAATTAAATACAAGTGAGCAAAAGAGAGGGTCGTTATCGTTCCTGGTCTGCTAATTGTTGATGGGTCACCGTTAGCTGCCCTTGGCAACTTGCAATGAAAGTGTTGTATCATAGAATCATTTAATTGTAACTTCTCAATCTAGTAAAGGACAAATTTGTAAAACTGCCTTTGTGTAATTTATATCTCTTATATTTTGAGACTGAGGAGTACTAAATTTATATAGATTATTTTTAAAAATTTATATTCTTATTTTTATAATCTTATTTATTTGCGCCACAAAATGAATAAATATCGAAGAAAGAGAAAATTACAATATGATTATTTATTTTTTCTGATTTTTTTCCTATATTTAATTTTTTTTTATCTTTTCTATTGAGTGAATAAGAAAAACAAATATTAAAAGAAAGATTAAAATAGTTGTATTTCCCAAACACTCAATTTTATCTTTTTTTTCAAAAGAAAATTGATGTTAGAAAAAAATTTAATAAAACATTTCTGATAAAAGATGAAAAGAAAATAATGCGTGGTCAAAGACCTATTTGACTGGGGTTGGCCTCTTTGAGTCTTGAGAACCCAGGTCAAACATAGTCAATTTCTCGAGAAACTGCCGATAAAATGGCGATTTTAGGAGTTAACGAATTAATTGAGCCGACCGTTAGGAAGGCCTTTCTTATTTCCAAATTTCCCACCGTTTGCATGTTGATTTCAATGCACTCACATTATTTACATCGACTCACCCCAAATCCAGTCCGCTACACCATTCCAACGCGCCCGGATTCACGTGTTCTTCACCGCACATTCCTTTTCTCTTATTTTTCGTTTTTTTTATTTTTATTTTCCCTCTCTTTCAAATAGAAAAGCAAAACAAATGCTAACGATTTATAACAGTTATAAGTTATTGGTTTAACTCTTTTCAATAAAAAAAATTGAATTGTCAAATTATTTTAACTCAGTTAATAATTATTTAATGCACATGTTAACATCTTTATCATTAACGAGAGTCTTCACTGATCACCAGTGTCTTTTTGTGATACAGGCTCGTTAATGCAGACAGTGTTCATTATTTATGCATTTAATACTTAATAATGAGAGTTTACTATTACTATTAGTACTAATCTTCCTGTATTTATTTCATTCTCGTGTCAAAAAATTTTCAAACTGGATCCAATAGATGATGAAGAAGAAGACCGTTCCTCGATGTCCGTGCACAACCCTTTGTGTCCAGTTTAGTTCACAGTAGACTTTTTAACTTGGCTTCCTTCCTTCTCTTACTTTCAAACTCAAAATTTTCTCTCTCTTTCTAGAGTCTTCAGCCCTCACAAATTCCAAGCTTACACCACGGAGACAGCGACATTTTCGTATATGCTTCCCTCTTCCGGATCATAAACAAGAGGAACGTAAAAATTAAACACAACCCCAATATTCACTAAAATGGTTGCTGGGAAAGTGAGGGTGGCAATGGGATTGCAGAAGTCTCCGGCCAATCCTAAAACTGATACGCCGCCAAAACCGCCTGTTCCTTCGCCTAGCTCAGGTAAAAGTTCCTCTCAGAAGGCCGTCTTCTCGCGTTCTTTTGGCGTTTACTTCCCACGATCCTCTGCTCAGGTTCAGCCCCGTCCGCCTGACGTTACTGAACTTTTACGACTGGTGGAAGAGCTCCGGGACAGAGAATCTCGGCTTAAAACTGAGCTTCTCGAGTTTAAGCTTTTGAAAGAGAGCGTTGCAATAGTTCCTGTATTGGAGAATGAGATTTCGACGAAAAATGCGGAGCTTGAAAAGGCAGCGAAAAGGATAGAGTGCTTGGAGAGTGACAACGAGGGACTGAGAACAGAGTTGAGTGAAGCAAAGGTGAAGTTTGAGGAAGAAAAACGGGAAAGTGAAAAGAAAGTTGAGGCATTGGAGGCTGAGATTGTGGAGTTGAAGAAAATGGTGTCGGATAGAGAAGCTGAAGAGCTTTCGTCTTCGCAGAGGTTTCAAGGGTTAATGGACTTCTCAACGAAGTCGAATCTGATCAGGAATTTGAAAAAAGGGGTGAAATGTACAGACATTTTAACTGCAAACCATGACTGTCAAAACCAAAAGTCCGAAATGTTAGATTTGAAGAGGGAAGAGGTAGAAATTGAAAGACCGAGGCACTCGAGGTGCAACTCGGAGGAACTCGCTGAGTCGACTCTTTCTAATCTGAGATCTCGTGTTCCCAGGATTCCTAAACCACCACCAAAACGGTCATCATCGGCTAACTCATTAACATCTTCAACATTATCTAACAGCTCTGATCAATCCGTTTCAGCACCACCGGCACCTCCACCTCCGCCTCCACCCCCTCCACCAGCCGCAGTAAAGCCAGCTGCCCCTCCGCCACCTCCGCCACTTCCTAAAGGGATGAGAATGGGACCAGCAAAGGTCAGGAGAGTGCCAGAGGTGGTGGAGTTCTATCACTCTCTGATGCGGAGGGATTCGCGGAGAGAGTCTGGTGCCGGAACGGCGGATTCATTACCAGCTACGACCAATGCTCGTGACATGATTGGGGAAATCGAAAATAGGTCGGCGCATTTGCTGGCGGTAAGTGCTGTTTTTCCGGTTAGGTACTTTTAAGTTACGTGATATTTACGGAAATTGCCACTGTGATTGTTTTGCAGTGACAACTGACAGGTCTAGTGACTTTATTGCTGCCCCTACTTTCTTTTAGTTCTGGATTTTATTGTTTCTTGTGAGATAAGACAGTGTTTAGATTCGAAATTGGTGTTTCAAATTAAAAAACGCAAAAGGTGTAAACTTTGATGGCAAACTGGACAATTTGCATCCAATATTTGAATAATGTTTTAGTTCATGGCTCGAGGTCAATTAGTCTAACAATTAGCAATTAGGAGCTAATTATATGTTTAATTTTCTTAATTTTTTAAGTTTTGCTTCAATTATATTGTTACATTAATTAAGACATATCATGCTTTCTTAGCATATTTCATCATTTTACAGATAAAAACCGATGTAGAAACTCAGGGTGAGTTTATAAGGTTTTTGATCAAAGAAGTAGAAACTGCTGCATTCACAGACATTGAAGATGTGGTGCCTTTTGTTAAATGGCTCGACGATGAGCTATCTTATCTGGTAAATCTTTGAGTTCCCTTGAAAAACCACAACTTTACAGTAATAATTCAGCAAAATTTTGTGCTACTCTGTTGTTTAGAGGCTAAATCATGTTGCTTTACTGATTAGGTTGATGAAAGAGCTGTGCTTAAGCACTTTGACTGGCCAGAGCAGAAGGCAGATGCGTTGCGTGAGGCTGCATTTGGTTATTGTGATCTCAAGAAGTTAGAATCTGAGGCCTCATCATTTCGTGATGATGCTCGCCAGCCATGCAGTCATGCTCTCAAGAAAATGCAGGCTTTGCTTGAAAAGTAATAACTTTTTTTGCAACCCAATTTGTATTTTCAACTTGATATCATAGGCATTACAGTTAACATTGGTCGTTTTCTTGTGTTTTGTTTCACAGATTAGAGCACGGTGTTTATAATCTATCGAGAATGAGAGAATCAGCAACAAAAAGATACAAAGGGTTTCAAATACCAATGGATTGGATGCTTGAGACAGGAATTGTAAGCCAGGTAATTGGATGCTTGTAATTACCTTTGTTGTCTTTAGCATAAAAGAGACGATACCTGGCCAGCTCTCCACGGAGTCGGACAATAATTGTTCACTCTAGCAATTGACATTTCATGGACATGTAATTACAATAACACCCATCCAAGCAAGCAAATCCCACTTCTTGAAAATCTAGAATTGGCTCAAGTAAGATGGTCCCCTTCAGATGAATCATGGTTCTACATATTGGAGAGGCCAACTAAACTTGCTTTTTACACAATCCACTATGTATTACTATACAAAGAATAGTGGGTTACTATATGACAAAAGAAAGGTTAGATATTGCCTTATTTTTATCTGCCCAAGCCTGCATGCGCACATGTGAATTCCCAGATCTGTAAAATGCGTTTGCTTGTCTGCTTCTTTTTAACTTTGGATTTATTAATAAAGATTCTCCATTTTTGACCCTATAGGCATGCTTTTTCTTGTAATGCTAGGATATGTTGCTAAACCGCATCTGGATTTTAATAAATTAGGATTAACGAAGAACTAAAATTTCTTGTCACTAAATAAAGAAAGATCTAAATGAGGATACAAAACAATTTTCCTGTTTTCACCGGTCAAACAATGCATCTGTCTTATATATTTTTGTTCTATAATAATGTCTTTTTTTTCCTGATTAGTCTCAATGCATGTCTTTTTGAAGCTTAATAATGCCTGATTAATTTCCTAAATGAGGATAGGAACAAATTTCCTGTTTAAGCTGAATTATGCCTGATTATTTGTGATGACCTTAATTTACTGTACCTTGGTTGGCTGATTTAATTTACTGTACCTTGGTTGGCTGCTAGCTAACTAATTACCACATGTAATCGCAGATCAAGTTAGCTTCGGTAAAACTAGCAATGAAGTATATGAAAAGAGTATCTGCAGAGCTTGAAAGTGTTGGTGGTGGACCTGATGAAGAAGAGCTGATAGTTCAAGGCGTTAGATTTGCTTTCCGGGTACATCAGGTAAAAAATCACCGTTAATCATTTATGTTTAACAGCTGTGTTTAATGCATTGTAATGAGAGGTTAATGAATGTGCTTGATATGTTGCCAGTTTGCTGGAGGTTTTGACGTGGAAACAATGAGGGCATTCCAAGAGCTAAGAGATAAAGCAAGATCCTGTCATGTACAATGCCAAAACCAACAACAGAAATTACTATCCAGGTCTACACCTTGCTAATCTGTAGCAAACTCAGCTTCAGAATTTCTGCCATTTTTTTTTGATTGTTGTAAAGATAGAACATCATGTATGTTAATACAATGGCTGCGGCCATCTCGGAATGAAGATTTATCATTCATCAATCCATTCTTTTCTTTTCTCTTCTATAAAACTTGTTTCTTATATTTCTCTTGGAACACTGATTTTGCTGTTGCCATTGGTCTAAACCAAGCAAAATATTTACTTAGACCGGATTTATAATCGATCAAACTAATGAAAATAAAATAATATAATTTGGCTAACAAATCAATTGTGAAAAAAAATAAAAAATTTTACTGATCAAACTAGTTTTTCTTTCCGGAGTCTCGAATTATTTATTAAATTTTATCAAGTGACTGACTTCAACGGTTTACCTGTGTAAAGAGATAAAGTGATATGAGGCGAAGACTTCATTAATTTTGGGTTCAGTGGTTTCAGCCATATTCAAGTTATCTTTGTCTTTTTTGTCCGGTTCGATTCAGTCTTTCAAATTTTATCGATCTTTCTGATAAAAAAAGTATATATTTCTGTCAAATGTATTAAATTTTTCTAAAATATTATATATTTAATTTGTAATTAATCCATGAATAATTTCATTTCGGATCAATTAAGTTGTGAATCGGCAATATTTTTGTCTTTTGTCTATCTTACCGTTGGGCGTTAACGTTGGTTAATTAATAAAAAAAAAAAATGGGGAAAAAGACGAAGAGCTGACTAGCATGATCTGATGGTACTAACTGCTAACTGCTAATTAATAGAGTAGTGTTGACAGAGAAGATGACGACGTACTCAATCTTAAATTTGCCACTTCCCTTTAACTTCACCGACTATCGATCTCTGAATCGCCATACTTCTATCATTTACCCATTAAATTCGACAAAACCATCTCTCTCCCCCCAAGCTCTTCGAGTTTCGCGCCTTTGCAACTGCAAAGCCACAGCAACGCCCATGGAAGTTACTGCAGTCGATAGCACCGGTAGCGGAAACCCACCCATGAAGCTATTGTTTGTGGAGATGGGCGTTGGCTATGATCAACATGGGTATGATATTTGTTATGTGCCTTTTCTTGATAACTCTATATTGTCGTTCTACCATCAAAGAATTCTTTGTTTGGTTACTCAAATTGGTCCA